AATTCAACTTAAGGACAGACCTTGGGAATGGAACTTGTTCTTAAACTGGGGACTACCTATACACCAAAGAGACTGCAATACTGGTAACTAACCCAAATCACTTTCTTCACTCTCAGGCTCAGGTGGTTTTGGTGGTTCTTCTGCCTTCTTTTCTTCTGCTTTTGGCTAAAAAAAGTCACTAATTATTAACATGCTCTCTTTTTCTCATAGAATGCTATAAGATGCCTTTTTAAATATAATATAACCAGGAACTGGATTTGATAACTGTATTAATGCACTGACATTTCTTCTAGGTTTTAAAATAACCAAAGGTGAACTCATCCAAACTGTATCTGTGATATTTAGCTATGAAACTTCTGCTTGGCACAGGATAATGGGAAAAACTAAGAAATCCAATTAATTTAAAATCTATCTGTGAGGACTTGGAAACATATATAAACTCAGAGTGAGAGGGAGCATAATTAGAAAACAAACACCTCTGACCAGCAATATATTTAAGTTAGTTCATAGAACAACAGTTCACTGAAGGTTCCTCTCAGAACCTCCTTTGCCAGTGGCTAAGAGTCAAATAATTCTTCAATTAATTAATAAATCTAAAGGATGTTGAGCTTTACCACTTGCCAACGATAAACCACTTTTGCAGGGAAGAAGACTTTCCATAAGCACACAAAGTAAAATATGGTAAACTGGGGGGGGGGGGGAAGGGGGAAAGAAAATTAAAAAGTTTGAGACATGCTGCTAGGAAACAAAGTATTGCTGAACAGCAAGTGGAATATGGCCTATCAGGAAAAGAAGAAGAATCTGTCTGAGCCTAAAAATAAAACAGCATGTTTTAGCAGAAGAGGTATTCCAAGCAATGGTTACCCCCCCTGGGCATTTCCAGAATACCGGAAATATATGCTATCAGCCAGCAAAGCAGTTTTGCAGTACAATACTACATTACAGCAATGTATTTTATCTGAAAGATGTTTATACAATACTATTTTATACAGTATCATGTGACTCTAGACAGACACAAAACCTAAGGGGCAGCACCACTGCCTATCTTGCCAATATGGGAAAGTGTAATGGATAGCATGACCGGGGAAGATTCTGGAATGGAGGTTCAAGGTTGTCAGGAGAGAGGGGAGACATTCCAGAGCAAGTGCCTCCTCAGCCCATAACAAGAGTGTGGGAAGACAAAGAGGATGAGGCTGGCCCCTCCCTAGAGTCTCACAGGGTACATCCACTAGTTGCTTTAGCATAGGTTTAGTCTGGCGAGATTCTGTCTATTAGGTGTAAGCTAATAAAGAAGCTATTCTGGACTGGACTGTCTCTTCGCTGTTCTTGGGCTGGGCCTGACAGAAAGATATAGAATCAGGACACACAACAAGATGCAATTATTGTAACCAAATAGTTTCATAAACTACACCAAATCCTGAAGCTAAAACTGAGACTGCAGAAAAAAAGGGAGGAGCATTCTTATAAGGTTTTCTGCAGGGTAGGGTTACATCCAAGAGAAAATTCAATGGGAAATATAGTCAAAGCCATCTAGAGGACATTATATTGGCTATTATAAATATTCCACATTGTAGAAAACTAAGAAGTCTTTGTAAATATTGCAGTCTGGTTTTGCTTGCTTAATAGTTTCCATTATGCTATCTTTTTATACTTATATATGAGGATATGTACATCTGTTTTATTTGTATTTGACCTCTGGCCTTATGGCTGTAATAAAGATTGATTGACTTAGACCTTCCATAGTACCCACATAAAGATTTATGTATCTCACATTTGGAGAGATAGGTAACTTGGGGTTACAAGAGTTCAAGTCAAGACATATGGAGGGAAAATGAGATGAGGTTGCCGATCAGCCTGCCAGAACATGAAAAAAAAATCTCTGATTTGCACAGATCAGCAAAAAGGACGATATCTCTTTTTTGAAGAATTGTATATTCTAGCCAAGCTTCTTTCTTACCTCATGAGTGGCTTCTGTTGACGTATTGCATGGAGCCGGTGGTATTGTACCTCCCATGCTTTATAGTCAAAAGAAAAAACACCAGTTAAAAGACACCATTAAATACCAAATATAAACTCATTGGCTTAAGATAAATGAAGAAATATATGGAATCCACAACATCCACAACAATCCAAAGATCCATTCATGACCTCAAAGAATAGCAGAACAGAAAGTTTTTTACTTTGGATATATTGGATCTATTTAGTTTTCTAAACTGTTTTTCTGGAATGCTTTAACTTTCAATATTAAATTGTTAGGGCAGAGGAATGAATTAAATTATCATTTGCTGCCTGCTGACCTAGGAAATATGAAAAAAATATTCAGGGATGTTTAAGAGGGCCCTAACAATTTTAAACATAGCTTTCATAATATTGGGACAATTATCCTGAGCACAGAAAGTTTTTTTTTTACCAAAACTATTTAACTCCGAATTATAAGTTACATTATAGGGGAGGGGAAAAAAAACTATTAAAATATATATATATATATATAACAATCCCAGAGACTT